CCCCCTCGCCCGGGGACCCCCCTTGCCGCGGTCCCCAGGGATGGAGGACGGGGACAGGCCAGCCCTACGTGCCGGCACGCAGCCACTCCCCGTGCCATAGCCTGTGCTGGGACATCCACTGGCGCCACGCGCATCCCTCTGTCGGCTCTGTCACCCCCTGCATGAACCAGGGGGTCACGGACCCTCCCTGTGCCCACCCCCTCCCCATCACCTCGCCCCTTGTCCCCCCTGCCCGGCGCTGACGCCTCTGTTCTCCCCCACCAGACACCAGCATCTCGTGGAGCACCATTAAGGACGGCTGCTGGTGCAAACTGGCTTACTGGGAGCACCGGACGCGCGTGGGCCGCCTCTACGCCGTGCACGAGGCCTCGGTGAACATTTTCGGCGAGCTGCCACGGGGCAGCGGGTTCTGCCTGGGCCAGTTGCCGGCTGCCCACCGTAGCCGCGCCGTCCGGCGGGCACGGGGCAAGATCGGGCGGGGGCTGGTGCTGAGCCGGGAGCCGGGGGGCGTGTGGGCGTACAACCGCAGCGAGCACCCCATCTTCGTCAGCTCACCCACTCTGGGCCTCCCTGGCGCCCGCGGGCTCGCTGTCCTCAAGGTGCTGCCGGGCTACTCGGCAAAGGTGTTTGACTACGAGCGGGCGGGGGGGGGTGAGGGGGGCTGGCGGCTCCCCGGGGAGGGCCCCTGCGACCCCCATAGTGTCCGCATCAGCTTTGCCAAGGGCTGGGGGCCCTGCTACTCCCGGCAGTTCATCACCTCCTGCCCATGCTGGCTGGAGGTCCTGCTGAACCAGCCGCGCTGAGCGACCGGGGCTGGCGGGGAGGAGGGGGATGCCAGGGAGCCCCTCACGGCAGGTGGAAAGGGGGCACAAGCTGGAGGGCCCTCTCCCTCCCCACCAGCCTTCCAGCCGGGCCACCCTGGCCCAGGAGACCCGCACTGGGACCCTCTGCCCAAGCCACGTGGGGGCCCAGTGCCCCCCGTGCCTGGCTCACCACCCTGCCGGTAACCGCCCCCCGGCCACGGGGCACTATTTAATCTCTTTCTCTCTCTCTTTTTTAATTATTATTCTATTGTTTAAATTTATTTTAATTTATCTTATTTTTTCTAAAAAAAGAAAAGCACAATGCAGGACCCCCTCCCTGCACTGTAAGTGGCCGGGGCCAGGCGCGGGGGGGGCACGGCATCCAGGCAGGTCCGGGGGAGGCCGGGGGCCACAGGGTGATGCTGGGGAGGTGGAGCAGTTCCCCAGCGCGCCAGAGGGAGCCTGGAAGTTGTGGCAGGAGTGGGGGGAACTGGGGTGGGCCAGCAGAGTGGAAGGTGTGGGGCAGGTGAGCACAGCTGGATAGGTGTGGGGCAGGTGAGCACAGCTGGATGGGTGTGGGGCAGGTGAGCACAGCTGGAGAAGTATGGGGCAGGCTCTGGAGCAGGTGAGCACAGCTGGAGAAGTATGGGGCAGGCTCTGGAGCAGGTGAGCACAGCTGGATGGGTGTGGGGCAGGTTCTGGAGCAGGTGAGCACAGCTGGATGGGTGTGGGGCAGGTGACCACATCTGGAGAAGTATGGGGCAGGCTCTGGAGCAGGTGAGCACAGCTGGATGGGTGTGGGGCAGGTTCTGGAGCAGGTGAGCACAGCTGGACAAGTGTGGGGCAGGTGGTGGGATGGGTGAGCACAGCTGGATGGGTGTGGGGCAGGTGAGCCCCCTCGGCAGGTGCTGGCACAGCTGGGCCAGAGGTGCCCCACGGGAGCTGGGGCCGGTGTGGGGTGTCCCGCGGTGGGTCCCGGCACCAGGGGACCCCCCGGGTCCCTCCAGCCGCTGGGGCAGCGCAGGGTCCCCCCCAAGGCCCTGGGGGTCCCGGGGTGCCCGCTGTGGTATTTGTAACCCAAATAAACGGTGCCGCCGGCACCAACTTCCCCCTCCGGCTCCCCACGCGTGTCGATACCGGCTCCGGGGAGGGGGGGGGTCTCGTGGCCCGCGGGGCTCGGCTCCGGGGACCGGCAGTGCCCTCTGCAGGCGGCCGCCGCCGGGCCGCGATGACCGCCCGGTCCTTCCTGCCA